CAAAATGTTAAATCTTTTCAGTGAGACAAGTTCATCTGCTTTACAACCGAAACCCCCTGACATTGCTGGAAAAAACTACTATATATATTATTCGTATCTTACCTGCAGCCAGCCATTTGGTTTCATTTGTTTGCGGAGGAGTGAAAGTTTTAGTGGAGGATTCTTTTCTTTCTTAATTTTTTTTTTATCTTTTTATTTGAACCATTATAATTAAGTTACATTAACAATTTATATTATTTTTTAATAAAAATAAAAAACAAAATATGAGACGAGAAGAAAAAGATAAGAGTAAAAGTGAAGAAAATCCTACTCCAAGTTTTAACGGCTAGCTATAACCATGCACGCTGCCAAAAGTTTCTTAGTACTTTACAGTCGGCCTCTCCCATGTGTTATAAAAGGTACACCCCTTCACACTTCGAAAAGGCCGACCTCCGCATGCCTGCCATGATGAAGTATCTGCACAAGCCGTCGTACAACGATTGTGCTTATACATGTCTCATTTTCTCACAAGAAACATGACAAGTTGCAGTACTCTGCCATCATGTGTTGAGTTTATATTTGGAATTGCAAAGTCTCGGGGGAATTAAACAAGTATGAAATCCAAAGATTCTTAGGGTTGGTTTTGGTTTAATATTTAAGTGAATTTATATAGATTCCGGAGTGCATTATACTCCATATTTGAGTCCATGTGCAAAACACATTGTTAAACTAATTTGGCTATGAACCAAATCCCGTATTAAGTCTACGTAGCTAGTAACTTCCACACCACATATATATGTTATGTATGTGAAAAAGAAAGTTATTGTTGTAATAGTAGGTAAGTGAAAATTTTGCGTGCGTGGGAAAGTAGGTCAGTGAAAAATTATTGTTTCACTCTTAGCTATGGATTTTTTATTTTTTGTCAAACGATAGATTTTATTATATTAGGTGTTAAAATAGCTAACGATATAATTTAAACTCACGCCGTCATGCAATAACTCAATACTTTTCCATCATTGTGATAAAAAGTCACTTGCATGAAAATTATTATTAAACTCATTTAACTAAAAGTGGTATATGTTGAGTCCCATATCGGCCATTGAAAAAAAGAAATAATAGTTTAAATATCTTAACCCTACTCCAACTAATACTGAGACATTTTGTGATAAAACCTCACACATGTCGGATTATGCAGGTGGTAATTACCAAGTTGAGGACAATATTAGTGTTGTTGAAAGTGGGCCCTTAGCCCACCTCTCTAATAATTCTACATAGTATCAGATAGGGAGCGGGCCCATATTATACTTCCAAGTGATGGGTAACGACTCATACATTAATATTTGGAAGCAAATACTAAGATAGACCCAAAATTATTTCGGAAGATAATCACCAAATTCCTTTGCTTAGACAATTTCCATGATAAGATTAATCTCAATTATTTTATTTTGGCTGCATCTAACCTCTTCGCTAGACTGCCTACGTACCCTACGAAGAGATCAAGCCATTTATAGTTCACAAATTCAATTTCTAACTCATTTCCAAAATCATTCAAGTGACTAACAATCACTAAGTTCAAACAAGTGATTCACACCAATTGCATTTCAAATCTAGATTCAGAATATCAAAATTAGCTTAGAAAGGCACCATCGGCTCACTATCCACGTGTGGCGGTTTCCGGCGAACGGAAACCTCAAATTTCGACGAACTCTAAAAATTACCAAATTTTATAGGGTTGTAGAGTTAAATGAGAGGAACAACTTTCATACCTAGGCCAAAATCCAATTCAGCCAGGAAACACCTCAAATCGGCTTCGAACCACCTTAAACCCTTAAATTGTGTGTTATTGATTCGACTCCAAAACCACTCTGACATCCCAACCAATGCTTGGGCTTTGTTCAGGGGCTCAAGGGGAGTCTAATGGTGGTATTAATTGGATAAAATCATTTCAAAATTTGTGGATCTTGGGCAAGAACTGCCGCACCCATCAATGCTTTTTTCCCAAATTCAAAGTCAAATCTCTTGCTTTTTTGGGTGTAATAGAAAGAGGAGATGATGTTGAGTTGGTTCCAAGTGGTGGGTGGCTGCAACTCACCGGAAATTGGCTAGGAAACTACCAAATTTCATGGCTCCCGCTGGTTTGGGTCGCATGGGTCAAGAGACTAGTTCACCCCCCCCCCCCCCAAAAAAAAATGTTTTCCTCCCTTCCCTCCTTGTTCTCTCATCCGATTGGGCATCACCCTCATTTTCCCTCTTTTCCTTTCCATCCCAGCCACACACATGGCTTCAACTCAAAGCTCCAGATTATTTGGAGTTTTCTAGATTCAAGGCACAATGACAATTTCGTCCTTATATTTACTCACCTATAACTTCTTCCTTATAACTCCATTTCACGAACGGTTTTCGTCCACATGCTCGTGGTATCATCCTCCATCCAAATATGTCAAAAAACTTGACAAAATATTTGAGGATAAAATTACGTTTAGTCAACAAGGGGCATTTTTGTTTTTTCCCTTTGTCGATAAATTTTTCCACACAATCATATATTTTAAAATTTTCAAGGCATTACAGGTGGGTTCCCTTGGCCCCACGTGATGATGGTGGGTTCCTTGGCCCCGCATGTAGGGTGAGTCCCCTTGGCTCCACATGATTGTCGATTTATGGATCTCCCACTTGTGACCCACTAATTGGGTCTCACGTGAGAAGGCGTGTTGAGTCCCACATCGACCATAGAAAAAAAGAAATAATAGTTTAAATATCTTAACCTCATTCCAACTAATACTGATGTTTTTTATAATAAAACCTCACACCTGACATATTATGTAGATGGTAATTACTAAGTTGGGGACATTATTGATGTTTTTAGAAGTGGGACCTTGGCCCGCATCTCTGATAATTCTATAGTATAATGGCCAATTTATCCTCCTTGGTTGAAAGAGAAATTTATAATAGTACATGTTGGAACCAAATTTATGCACCATCGTGGATGGACGAGTGCAAGAACGACTACCTACAAAAGAGAACATATAACCATGAAGTCTTAGGTACCAGTGTGGTATCAGCCAAATGGTCTCCCAAGGTCAAGTCAATAAAAGTTTTAGAAATCAAGCAGTGGGCTAGAGAGCGAGAGAGTGACATGCAATGCAGAGAGCACAATATCAAAATACCTTTTATGAATTCCAGATGGGTGTTCTATACTAATCAAGAGAGAACCCTTTTAGGATAGTGAATCCGTATAAAGCCGGGAGAATCCTAAATAATATCTAGCATAAGATATTATTTTCTTTCAGGAGTATGATTACTTGTGACTCAAGACAATCCTTAGATTTTAGGAATCTCCAAAGATATAGGAAACTAATCTGATCCCAATTGGATTAGGTTTGAGTATCTTGCGGAACTAGCATGATCGTTCTCGGCATGGCCTGTGAGCCTTGCCTACTATTCTGGAATCAGACAGGGTGCGGTGGCATCGTTCACCCGTTTATGCGGCTCGAGTCAATCAGAATTGTCTAGTCCATGCATGACCAGACTATGGAGGCACTTATATTCCAATCCGCCTACTTGGGCTGAGGAAAATTCATGGTCCCACAATACTAATGGTTGGAGCAATGATAATCCAAATTTCCAGTTTTTTAGGGTCACAATGGACAACCCCTTAGGTATCAATATGGTTCACACTGCTTCACATTTGCTACTAGTTGTCACTAAAAGAATAAGCTTTCTGCTAATCACATAACAGATTACTTCATAATAGAATACACCTATCGGCATGGAGTAATAGACCTATACCTGATTAAGCATCCACTTGAAGCCAGTTGCGGCAAATCACTCATTCTTCGAAGCACTACTGTACCAGTCCAAACTGTAAACTTTATTCAGAGTCTGTACAATTGAAGAAATATTTTCCCTCCTTTGCCTAACCGAGAATATCTCCTCGTTAGAGCTAACATTTTACGACTATTTAACAAGCTCTCAAACCTTCCACTCACCGATCTCTGCATCGACAAGATTGCAAAGAATATTACAGGATTGCGTGCACATTTGGCCCTACAAATAGACCAAAACAGATACTTAACAGAGGAGATCTCTTGGGCATTGCTGAAGATGCTCTTATCCAAAAGAATTCAAATCTAAAGGGTACTAGATTTCAATTACCTGCTAAAAGTTTTGGGCATTTCTAGTAGTTTGATGTCGTGCAAAGGCCTTTCGATGACTTTGATGCTTTGAAATATAGTCATGGTTCGGATACTTATCTGCTTTAGAGTTTAAGACATTGAGCAGATATAAACGCCGAATACCATCTCAAACACTAGGACTGTCATCCTCGATAACAAAGGAGATTTCTTGGGAGGCTTTATGATCAAACTTTCCTGTGAACCAAAATTTCGCAAATAAGCACCTTAAAATTCTATTTCGCAATTGCAAATATTAGCCCCGTTTCAAAAATGAAAAATAAAATACCTTGGTGATGCCTTTTCTATAATTTGATTCTTTTAAGTGTTTTCTCACCGACTTTATTTGTTGTCAGCTAAGTAGAATCCAATATTTTTACTTAATTTTTAAGTCATGGATTCATTATCATAAAGAAACTTCCGAAGTTAAAATCACCAAAGTAAACTGTATATTCCAATTGGAATTATATTTCCTGAAAATATTTGGTATTTCAGAATAATAATCACCACAGCAGCCTATATCACATAAACAAGGTTTGAGGTTCCAATTGTGTCTTCACTGGATGGAAGATAATTGTATTTTAGCTATTTGTTTTAGTGAAATTTCATAATACTGATCTTTTCCGGACACGACAAAAAATAAAAAACAAGCGAAAATTTTATTGTGCCTGAGTATAAAATATTCCAGATATTTTCACTGTTAGATATTAGTTTTTATGATTTTGACCAAAGATGTGTGACGATTAAAACGTCCAGAATACCCGAGACAACAAGGCACCATAGAAAATTCTGAAAACAAGACCTTTCCCTTTCCTGCGCATCTACGTACCTCAAAACTTACAAACAATAAAATAGAGAAAAAACTCCATGAAATAAAATCAATCCAACCATCCAACAAGCACCTCTTCCTCTTTAGATCAACCAAGTGTTTTAATAATGTACAAGAACAGCCTGTGTAAGTGTTAACAATAAATGCTACTCTGTTTCAACAACTACGCGTATGTGTCTACCTAAATTTAGAAACTCTATGCACAAATTGAATCAAATAATAAGCAAAAATTAATTATACGTAGCTGCAAAACCGGCTACAATACAAACTACGCGAATATCTGTTGAATGACGGTCTCGGCATTTCCGTTGTATTGTGCAAGAAGATGGATAGCATCGGCCCTGGGCAAAGCTAGAAATTCCTGCAACCACCCACACAGTGAGATTAGTTGAAGTGAACGAACCAGTGTTTGAACTTAGAAGATGTGGTTTTATATTAAAACAGACAAATATCATTTTGTCTAGTTGCAGTCAAATTATATTTATACAAGTGCAAATAGTCGAATTGGATTAAAAGAAATCTTATGCCGTACGGCTGACTGAACATGCTAATGACCATAAAGTGCACATGTTTATTTTTGACGAGGCCAAGTGAAACTGTCGCATTCGTCGAAAGGGAAAATTCACTACAAATAATTGAAATATGCTTCCACATGGAACAATTTAGAAAAGATATAGATATGCAAGTTCAGTTCATAAAACTCACCATTACTTTTAGTATGGCAGTTTCATCACACACAACATCTCTAGACGACACTTGAGTCAGGCTGCTACCATCTTCCACCATCCTCGTGCTTGAAGATACTGTTACTTGGGAAGACCCATTAGAGCAACTATCTGCATTTGACTTAGAAGCAGCGGCAGCAGCAAGCGAAGGAGTATTAACTTCTTTCAAGGAATCAATCTTTAATAGGCTTTCGAAGTGGTCTTTACAACATTTGAAGTTTAAACCACTCATTATGGGTGTGAAGGGTTGCTCTCATTATTTTCATAAGCTGGGGCTCGTCAATGCCAAGCTCCTCCCAATTGCAACCTATCACAGACAGAAGCAAATGTTTAGTTCGCACTTATGGCATGGTACATTGTATAAATCACATTTAAGACTCATATCCAGATAGAAAAACGATTTAATGGTGGTTTATGTTAAGCATCGGCAGTTCCTATTAATTTTAGTATGACAGCAAGTCATGGCATACCTTGGAGTGAAGTTGCAAGAGGCATGTAAGGGCAAGCCTTTCCCAAGTGCATCTTCATTAGGTTGGAGCAGTGCTAACAGAGTCTCCTTCAAGGGCTTCAGTAAAACTGGATCACTTGCAGCTAAAGGACCTAAATGAGAGCATGCAACCCTCAGAGCACTAGAATGATCACCTGAGCTGACAAGCTTAAGGAATTCAACCTACAGTTTGTGAAATTATCAGAATGTAAAATTTTGTATATTATAGTATGATTTAAAAACAATTACTTCAAGCTATTTACAATACATGAGCTAAGTACCTGCTTAAGTTGGAAGAGTAAAACAGGATTTTGTACAAAAAAATTTGGGTCCATAGAATTAACTACTTCCACGACCTCCGCAGCCATTCCTTTGCTAGCTAGTTCCTTCATCCCAATCACAATCTCATACTTGTCCTCCACGTTGTCAAGGCCTAAACTTAAGCATTCTGAAGCCTGCAGAGCAACAACATTGTCAAATAACAACCAATACTACCACTACTACATGACAAATAATTCGAACAATACAGAACCTGGGCTGTTCCCTTGATGAATACGTATCANGCTCTTC